TTCTTGATTTCAAAGTTTTAAAACCCCGAGACTGTATGAAAACTGAACGGAACAGTATCAGATTTACTTCTAATTGCAAATGCTTATAAGAAAAATACCTAGGATTCAAAACTGACACCAAGCCCATCATCCTAAGTTTATTATCTCACTTTTTAACATAGTTCTTTGACACTTCACTACCCTGGTAATTAAAGTCATTAAAATGGATTGAATCTATAAAATAACTTTATATTCTCTTGGTAATTTTAAAATGTGAAAAGAAAAAAACACCCACTGATGAATATCAAATAAAGGTCAGGGTCTAATTCCTCAAACCCCAATCCCACTTCCCAGAAGTGCCCAATGTTAATTTCATGACTGGGGCGCCTGGCTGGCTCAGTCGGTTAAGCATCCGACTCTTGATTTCAGCTCAAGTCTTCATCTCAAGGTTCTGAGTTCAAGATTGCATTGGGCTCCACACTGGGCATAGAGCCTAATTCAAAAAAAAAGAAAAATAAAAGAATAAAAGCTTTGAAAAATAATTTCATGACTAAATTTCTATGTATTTAAACACATGCTCTTTCTACAAAAATAATACATAATTTTTTGCAGTTATCTTCTTGCACTGAACAATCAATATATCGTGGACATTTTTTAGAACAGATCAGACTACGTTCAATTTAATGGCTGTTAATATTTTCCCAATTTATCAGATTTGAATATTCAACCACTTTCCTACTATGGACATTAGTTGTTTCCTGTTTTCTTATTGCTAAGAATGCTTCAGTTAAAATTCTTATACATATCACCTTTCAGCACATGTAGACTAAATTCTTAAAAGTGAAACGTGAGGTCTGAATTATTTAACACTAAGAAACTGCCCTCTAAAAGGCTGTTACTGATTTATACACCACCAATGAAAAGGAGTATCCTTTTCTCCACCTCCTTTCCAATACAGATAAATAAAAATTTTTAATTAAAAACATTTGTTTAAATATTTTATTTGTCAAAGGGTACAAGCAGGGGGAGCGACAGGCAGAAGGGGAAGCTGGCTCCCCACTGAGCAAGGAGTGCAATGCGGAACTCAATCCCAGGACCCTGGGTTCACAACCTGAGCTTAACCAACTGAGCCACCCAGGCATCCCTCTAAATTTTTTTAATTTGTACAAATCTCATAGACAAAAAGCAGTGTCTTGTTTTAATTTGCATTTCAGATTAGAAACGGGGGAAATTTTTGAAAAACTTCTACTTTTATTCAATATCTTCTTTAGTTAATTCATCACTCATAACCTTTCCCATTTTCATGTATAAGAAGGAAGCATGTTATGTATACTAACTTTAAGTCACATATACCTGAAATATTTAATGTCTTTGTCTTTTGATACAGCAACTTATAAGGTTAAAATAGTCCTATCTTTTA